TCCCCCCGGTGTTAAATCTTAGTCACATTTTATTTACAAAAAAAAATTAACTCCCTTTACTGCAACTCCAAAAAAGGTGCGATTTTTATAGAATCCCCTTGGGAGTATAAAATCTAACTTCCTTTTTTGACAGTACTAATTACCAAAAATGATTAGTAAAATGATTAGAAAAAATGATTCTGATTCTAAAATGACATTTCTTTTTTTGTATAGTAAAATTTAAATTAATTGTATTTTTAAATATTTCATTTAATCAAAAAAAAAAAAAAAAAAAAAAATTCTTTGACGCCTCGGATCACATTATTTCTTATCGTCACTCGTCGCAATTGCGTTCCTCTCATTCTGCCGTACGTGTGAACGAGACTTTACTTTCTCAAACACGCGACTACCGTCACTTCTCTCCTCCTCTTTATACTTTCTCCAGCACATTTAAAAGTAGGTCCCAAATAGTACTTAAAGCCATGACTCTTTTACTTTTCATTTATATATACATATATATATATATATACCAAACTGCGCAAAAAAACAAAAACAAAGTTTCGGTAACTTCTCAAAACGAGTTTTTTTCCCTTTCAAAAATCATCTATGAGAGATTCTTTTTCAATCGCCCCAGCCCAAAAAGTCAATGTTCTGGGATTGGCTTCATACTTTGGTAAATTGTTGTCCTATATGATAGTAATAAATCCCTAAAATATAAACTCATTAAAAAAATATTTGTAGAAAGTAGAGGGGGTTGAAGTTTTGACGTTAAGGGTAACCTTGTCATTTTCAAATCCGTTTAACTATGACAAAAGTTAATGGATTTTAATTTATCTATAATGAATTTTATTGCATTTTTCACGTACTTTTCAAAAATGTATACGAAATTAAAAAAAAAAATTTTAACCCCTTTTTTGTCAAAATCAACCCTTATTTTTCGATTTTCACCCCTTCGGGTATTTTTTTTTTTTTTTTTTTTATTTTCATTGGAAAGCTGAGGTTTTTTCCGATGAGCTATGTAAATATGAAAATGGGACAACAATAATTTTGTGAGAAACAGAATATTAAAGTAGGCGGTGCCGATAAGGGGTGTACCTGGAGATCATCTTTGAGGATTTAGATAGGCACCGCCTTATTTAATATTATGTTTCTCACAAAATTATTGTTGTCCCATTTTTATATTTACATAGCTCATGGGAAAAAACCTCAGCTTTCCAATGAAAATAAAAAAAAAACAAAAAAAAATTCCCGAAGGGGTGAAAATCGAAAAATAAGGGTTCATTTTGAAAAAAAGGGGTCAAAAATTTTTTTTTTTAAATTTTGTATACATTTTTGAAAAGTACGTGAAAAATGCAATAAAATTCATTATAGATAAATTAAAATCCATTAACTTTTGTCATAGTTATACAGATTTGAAAATGACAATGTTACCCTTAACGGCACCCTTATCGGCACCGCCTACTTTAATATTCTGTTTCTCACAAAATTATTGTTGTCCCATTTTCATATTTACATAGCTCATCGGAAAAAACCTCAGCTTTCCAATGAAAATAAAAAAAAAAAAAAAAAAAATACCCGAAGGGGTGAAAATCGAAAAATAAGGGTTGATTTTGACAAAAAAGGGGTTAAAATTTTTTTTTTTTAAATTTCGTATACATTTTTGAAAAGTACGTGAAAAATGCAATAAAATTCATTATAGATAAATTAAAATCCATTAACTTTTGTCATAGTTAAACGGATTTGAAAATGACAAGGTTACCCTTAACGTCAAAACTTCAACCCCCTCTACTTTCTACAAATATTTTTTTAATGAGTTTATATTTTAGGGATTTATTACTATCATATAGGACAACAATTTACCAAAGTATGAAGCCAATCCCAGAACATTGACTTTTTGGGCTGGGGCGATTGAAAAAGAATCTCTCCTATACACCTACACTTCTGCCATTGTTCTATTTTTCTCTTATTTCTTTCACTTAATTTTATATATATATATTAGTATTAGATAGTGAAATTCAATTACCTTGAGAAATTATAAATATTAAAGAATCATTAAAAGTAACATGTTTGTTTTTTTTTAGATAATTAATTTATATTTTATAAGTAATATAGCGGTTTTTTTAAAATTTTATTAAGAGGTTTTTTTTTATTTTTTAAGAGGTTGAAATTTACTTTTTTTTTAGAAGTAATTTATTAAAAAGTAACTTTAAAGAAGCAATTTATTAAAAAGTAACATTAAAGAAGCAATTTATTAAAAAGTAAATTTAAAATAGTAACTTTTACGATACAACTTATTTAAAAGTAACTTTTATGAAGCAACCTATTGAAAAGTAACTTTTATAAAGTAACTTTAAGGAAGTAACTTTTTATAAAGTAATTTTAAAGAAGTAACTTTATAGGAGTAACTTTTTAAAAAGCAACTTATTAAAAAGTAACTTTTAAAATCAATATTCAAGGTGTAACATTTAAGAAATAAATGTAAATATAGTAACTTTATATGAAGTAACTTTTTGATGGAAGTATAACATTTAAAAATACTCTCTAAATCTGAATTAGTAAAAATAAAAATGTTTACTAATTTAAATCAGTGACTCACTTTTTGCTATAGAATTAGTTAAATTTTACTAATTGTTAGTAAAAGTTACTAATAATTATTATAGTAAAATTTTACTAATTGAGAAGCAAAAAGTGAGTCACTAGTTCAAATTAGTAAACTTTTTTACTAATTCATATTTAGAGAGTAGTTAATTTTTATGAAACAAGTATTAAATTAATTTAATACTAAATTAAGTAAAGTAACTTTTTTTAAAACTATAATTTTTGTCGAAAATTTCGAAAATTCTAAAATTTTTTGTCCACTTTAATCCATTGTATAGGCCGGAGGGATAAAAATATCTCTTGTACCAATTTCTGAAATGCAATGAAATGGAAAAAAAATAATAAATTAATACATTAACTGCAATTATATTATTGAATATATTTGAAAAACTTCAATTAAAATATAAAATAAAGAAAAGATTCCTTTCTCAATAAATGAGTTTCGCTTTCCTAAATAAAATGTTTATTCAAATGGTCATTGTGAGTCGTATTTTTTTTTTTTATTATAGATTCATTATATTTTTTTATAGAGACTTTTATCGAAATTAGTCAAAGTTTTCACTAAATTAAGAATTCCGATTTACGTAATATTATGAGAATTGAAATTTTTGAGAAAATAAAAAAAAAACCAACAAAATTCTATTTCCCGGAAGGTATTACGTCACATGGTAATTCGATTTTCTGAATGCCAGTTGACTTTGCTCGTCTCATTTTCATTAGCGAAAGTGAATGATCTACGTGACAAAGTTTCTAATTGATATATTTCTATTCACACCATAGCTTATACATTTAGCAATTATTTATGCTGCAAACAGCAATAACGTAAGCTGTTAAACGTGCTTTGAGAATTCGATATTGTTGTTGTTATTATTATTATTTTTTATTTTTACAAACGAAATTTCAACATATTATCAGTAATTGGAGCAGAAAAATATAAAAACTTAAATAAATATCTTTTATAAATATAAAATTGAATCAAGCAGAAAAATGTAAATTATATTCGTGTTTTTATAATTTGAATTCACGAAATGGAAACTCTTTCCAAATTATCAACTTTTTCTTGTGGATTTTTCTCAATGTTCTATATATAGACAAAAATATTGAATGATAAATATACTGTTAAAAAAATTTGCCAATTTAAATATGAGGCAAAATTTGGGATTTTAAAAAAAAAATTTTTGCACCTAATTCAAAGGAGAGTAGGAAAAAAAAACATTCGAAAACAAATGAATCAAAATTTTTTTTACTCTTTAAACAATATTTATGATTTTCCAAAAAATTCACATTTTTCTGTCTGTCTGTCTGTCGTAATGTACCATAAATTGTAAATTATACTGAAAAATTAAAAAAAAAAAAAAAAAGTTACTATTGTTCGCATATGATAGTCAAACGCGCGATTGAAAAGTTATATTAAAAATTGTGAAATTAATTCAACTTCTTTTTTTTCTCGAAAGGCATTATAAAATTGCAAAAGTCAAGCGGTGAACGTTAACTGGAAATAATTTCACGGACCATGAATTTCTGCGAGGAAGCCTTTGGTTGCTCTCTAGGAATCTTATGTATATATAATATGAGAAAAAAAGAAATTATACATGTATTAAATGCAATTCATTAAAACCACATTTTAAATGATAAAAATTATTTTTCCTATACTTGGAAAATTTTAATTGTCGATCTTAATATATATATATATTTATATACTCTCTAAATTTAAATAAAACTTTTAACTAATTTGAATTAGTGACTCACTTTTTGCATTTGAATTAGTTAAATTTTACTAATTCGAAAGTAAAATTTTGTTTTACTATTAATTAGTTAAATTTTACTAATTAAAAAGCAAAAAGTGAGTCACCAATTCAAAGTAGATAAAATTTTTCATACCAATTAAAATTTTTAATAAAATTTTGATGATAAAATTTTTGATTAAAAATTTGTTTTCCAAAACGATGACCAAACATTTTTTTTTGTATTTTTTGTAATTGTCTGTAATTTTTATTTTATTTTCGAGGATTCAGGAATTTTAAATTTTTTTATTAATTATATATAGCTATAATTATAAACTAACCATAACAATTAAAATATATAATTATAATAATTAAATTTTCTTAAATATAATCATTTTTTTTTTTTCATTAAAATTACGTTTCCTTTTTATTTTTTAATAACATTTATGTATGGACACACTTGAATAATGAATATATTTAGAAATATATACAATTATTTTTGATTTTTTTTGTAGTTTAAAAGAAATTTAATTTTTGTTGTATATTAGTCATAAGTTTTCTTTTTTTCTATAGATCCCAATAATTAATAAAATAATAATCAATCTCGCAGAAAGAAAATTTATTTTTCCATAATATATTGATCAATTATTTTTGGTTTTCATTTTCCACATTTATATATATATATATATAGAAATTAATTTCTTTTTCTCAACAAATTGTCTTTTATTATATAAACAGGCCAATAAACTCTATATAATAGAAATTATAACATTTGTAATTGCACTATAATTAATGTTCAATTTCCTTTGTTCCTCCGAACACTACTTTATAATAGTATTTATTTGTTTTTTTTTTTAATTTTATTTTATTTTATGATTCATGTTTTATGTAATTTATAATAAATTTATAATTTTCTAATTTCTATTTTAATTAATTATAATTGACAATGACAAAGACATATATATATCTCTTTTTCTGGTGTGCGAGTAATAATATTTCAACGAAAAGAAAACTTATTTTTCACTTTTTTCTCGATGATTTATATCTGATGCTATAACAATAATGTTGATGATTTTAAAATTAAAAAAAAAATTCATTATTGAATGAGAGAGTATTTTAATTTGAAATAATATTTTTTTTTTTTGAACAATTATGTCGAGAAGTTATAATTTACTTTTTTTTTTATTGAAAATGATTTTTATGATTTACTGGTGTATTTGATGCTAAAGATGTTCTTGATTTGAAACGGAGGATCGAGAAAAGGACAATACACTCCTTTTTGCAAAGCCAATGGAAATGTCTTTTTTATTAGCAGCGACTCGTATCTGCAAAAAAAAAAAAAATTACATTACTTAAAAAAGACATTTTTTATTTTTAAATAAATATTTTTTAATAGATATTTTACAAAAAATATTTTTAAAAAATAACGTCTGCTTTGAAAATTATTTAATTATTATTTAATTTCATATAAAAGTGGGTGAAACAAAAATATAATGTTTTTTTAAAAAAGAAAATATTTTACAAAAGAAATATTATTTCTTTTTTTTGCAAAAAAAAAAAAAAAAAAAAAAAATTAGAGTATGTCACGCTTACTAAACATTTCACAAAGAACCAGAGGATTCTGCTCATCTTCTTGTTTGTCCGCATCTTCATTGTTTTCATTATTTTTGTCGTATTTTATTCTGTCCTCTCGTTTCATATGTTGTACACGATCTAAATAATTGAGAGCTTCTTCAAATTCCTTCAACGATGCGGCATTATACAATTGCATATGGGCCCTTTTCCCATAACGACTTCCGGTATAGAAACGGTCGACCCTAGGTGCCATGTCCGAGACTTTTGGCCCGGTACGTGAATTTTTCATGCCCATCATTCCACTTCTTCCATATCTGCTACCTGCCAGGAACACTTCACCTACAGCTAAATTATTAAATTAAAAAAAAAATTCCATTAACGTCATTTAATTAAAAAATTGTACGATTAATTTTCTCCTAAATATTTTTCCATTTAATTAAATTAGTTCAAAAATCAATTTAATTTGATAATAAACGAAAATTTTTTTTTTAATCGATTGAAAAACTCTTTTCTTAATATTCTCCTAATTTTATTTTGAACAAATAATAGAAATTTTTTCCCCCAATTTTTGAAATAATAGCCAACTTTATTTACGTGTTTAAAGTGTGCTAAACTGTTCATTATTTCCCGCAAAAGAATGTAATAATAGAAGCTAATGTGGCGCCATCTCTTAGTGCAAGAAGCAGTTGAGTGGCAAAGTATGCGCCTGAATGTGGTAACCAAGTACCTAACCTATTTTACGTATTCAGAATCAGATAGCATTTCTCGTTTTATTTCAGTAATTGTAATTTGTGAACGACACCTGATTTAGAAAATCAAAGAATACTTATTTCTGTTCCTCAATTTTATTCTCTACAAAACACAATTTTACACTGGGAATCTTGGTAAAACTATACCAATTCTAAAACTCTGTGAAACATATACAATAACATTTACTCCGGGTCCGACAGCCCCTTCAACATATTTGAATTTGATCAATCATTGAACACTTTTCTTGAAAATGTTATTCGATATATTAAGGCCAAATTTTAAAAATAGACTAAAATAATCACAAATTGAAAATAGAATCAAATTAATTTTCTTCCGGAAATAATAATTGGTAGCTCAATCCCTTGGATGGATAATAGTAGAGGGGGTGATTCGTTTCTTTTAATTATTTAAAGAAAATAAACCATTTAATTTATATAAAAAAATGATTTTAATATTTGATTTTTGAGGTTAACAATTTTAATGCAACTAAATTAAATAAAACTTATTCTATAAAGAATAAGGATTCTATATTCGAGATAAGACACACACAAAAATAGGATTGAATTATAATTTAAATTAAAACATTTTAAATTTTGATTTTAAATATAGTCCAAAATAGAAGAAAAATTTAGAAAGATTATTTTTAGTGAAATTAACCAAATTTACCATAACAAATCCGATGAATGCTGATTGGAACAAATTTTACTTATTTTTAAAATATTTGTTTTTAAATTATTTCTGAAAATTTTCAAATAAATTTCAAATTGGCTTCTATAGTCATTTTCTTTTTGAATTAATTATGAATTGATCCATAAATACAATAATCACAAAATTAATTATTATTACATTAATATTCAAAAATATATAAATTTTGACTTTAATCAATGATTTCACTTTTTTAGAATGAAAAAATAATCTTGTTTATCAATCTCTAAGGAAAATTTGTTTTTAACCAAAAAAATGAAAAACGAATGTTAACAAATGAATCCCGACATAAATTCGTAATTATTTTGTTGATTAATAATAAAAATCTTCTTCTCTTGAATGATGATGAAATTAAATGAATCGAAAGCAAAAGGAAATGTTGGATACTCTTCTTTAAATTAAATAAATTATTAATTTAGTTTGATGCCAGTTGTTAAATCGTCATAACGCTCCTACAATATAATTTTTCTTGACATATATACAAACATTATAACTGAGACTACAAAGAACATTCTTAAATCCAGATTTATATAATTTTGATGAGTTAAACAAATTAAATGGGCTTTGTCTTCCACGCAGCAATATTAAGAGTTTCGAGCGATAGCTCAAAAGTATATGACGAAACTTTCCAAGATTGAATAAATTTTGAAATTGTTGTAATAAAATTCATAATAATCCAATATTTTCTTGGGTACAATCATAGAGTCCAACAATCAAATGAATAAGGTTAATTATAAATAGAATAATTTTCTTGAATCTTGAAATCTTCATATTTCTTTGACTCAAACGGAATTACATAAAATTTAAAAAAAGGGATTATTTATTTTAAAAAAATGTGTATCTTTATCTCGAATTTTTGTGAAATCATTTAAGTAAATCAGACCAGAATAAATTATGAATTTAGAAAATTTAAAAAAAGAAATTAAAAATTGATCAAAATAAATAATTAATATGCCAAAATCAAATTTATATTCGTAAATTGTAAAATTATCAATTTTACAATGTTACAATCTTTAATAAATTCTGATAAAATGTCATTTAAATTTGAAAGTATGCCCCGAGTGTCAGTAACTATACCCGTTACCCTAATATTATTTACAAAATTGAAAAAGGAAAATTTGTTATTGTTTTTAAATTATTTAAGTTATTTTATTTAAACAAAAAATTTTTTTTTTAATTTCATTATTTTCATTCATTATTTCATTAAAAATGCAATTAATTTGAATAAGAAATTAAAAAAATTAATAAATAAGAAAAAGTTGTAATTTAAAATTGAAAATAAAGTTAATGGCGTGGAAATACACACACACACGCGCGTCAATGAATTACTAAATAACTTAATTATATAAGTAACTATAATAAATATATATATATATATATATATATATATATATATATATATAAATAAAGATTACTCTCCTAATATAATTAGTCATGCAAAAAGCATTTTGGCTTCGAATTTCCGGGAGCTGAGAACATGATTAGAACAACAAAATATCGTGTAACATAGAACCAGAAACGAGATTTAATTGTAGCTATTTAAACCACTTTGGTATTTGACACAAAGCGACCAATGACCTATATCTTAATTAAAGAGTCATGAAAATACACTAATGTAATTAGTGTGTCCCTTTTTATTATATTGTTTTGTTAAGACAAAACGTGGCTAAAGTCAAAGAATAAATGCGCAAACTGCAATTTTTCTTTTTTGCGTGGGGGAAAAATTAAATTTTTTTTTTTCATTTATACCAAAAACATATACTATAAATAGTGTGTTTCAACTTTGTCAATGGTTTCTAATTTCCTTTTTTTTAGTAACTCACGCCTTCTTTTACTTACTAATTTTTTTTAACTTATTACTATTTTTAATATCTTTTTAAAAAATTGAAAAAATTTATTTTCTATATATATATATACAAATTAGAATAAAATAATATTGTAAATAATTAATTTAATATAAATTTAACTAAAAATCAAAAAAAAAAAAATTTATAATAATAATTTATTAATAATAATTTAAAAATTGTTCTGGTTAAAAATATTTTCAAAAAACTGTTGAAATAAAATAAGAAAGAATTTTGAAAATTACATACGAGCAGCGCTTTCTTCTCTTTTGCCATATCGACCACTTGTGTAAAAATTGTTTTGCGAAAAAGCCAAAGTAACAAAGTTGCAGCTGATCCAAAGCCATATCATCAATTCTATACTACTGAAGCCTAATGTGGCTGACGCAAGTCGAAATTTTCTACTGCTAGACAACATTTTATCTGCAACAAGATAAATTCTATATAATAAAAAATGGAATAAATTTTTTCTAACATGGATATCAGTGTTGTTTTTTTAAAAAAAAAACAAAAAAAAATGTGTACATTTTATATAAAATAGAACCGTTTTTTATGTTACAATAAAAATACATATATATATATTATATAATATAAAAATTTTCAATGAAACAAATATATTTTTATCTCAGAGGTAAATAAATATTTATTTGTTTAAATAAAATTTTATTTTCTTTAAATAAATGTTTTTCTTTGAAAAATTTTTTTTTATTTATTTGCAATAAATTTTATTTGTTTTAAATAAATTTTATTCGTTTCAAATAAATTTCTATTCGTCTGAAATACATTTTTACTTTTAAATACATTTTATTTGTATTAAATAAATTTTTTATTTTATTTTTCAAACAAAATTTTTTTTCTGTTAGAGATATTTTATTCGGTTCAAATAGAAATTTTATTTGCAACAAATTTTATAAATTGTATCAAATAAAATTATTTTATATTTGAAACAAAAAAATAGTTATAGCTATGAGGACAAATATAAAAAAAATAGTTGTTAAATAAATACAGTTTAATTAAAAATAAATAAATAAATGAAGAAGAAGAAGAAGAAAATAAAAAATTAATGAATAAACATTTTTTCGAAAAAATTATATTTTTTTTTTGTTTTTCTTATTGAGAAATTTTAAACTAATTAGAAATAATGATTTATATATATTATATTGTATACATAGTTTATATAAAAAAAAATATAAATTAGGTACAAAATTATGATAGTATTTAAAAGTTTTGTTTTATTCTAAAAAATGTAAACTTCTAACTTTAAAACAACACCTGTGGCTATGTTGAAGAAAAGTTTCATACATTACAAAGCTTATTTATTGAGAAACAGAACTTTAAATTAATTTCTAATAAAATTTTGATATTTATTAAATTATTTTATATAAAAACTATATTTTAAAATCAACCGAATTTTTTATATTCACGAGTAATTTTTTATTTTCAACAAAATATAATTTATTTGATTTATATACACTGAAAAAAAAATTTATTTGATTCAAATATTCGATTACTTGGCTATTATCGAATAAATATTTACTTGAACCAAATAATTTTTATTTGAATTAAATAAATTGTATTTGAACCAATAATTTCTGTATTTGAAACAAATACCATTTAATTATCTCAAATAATAATTATTTGATACAAATAAATATTTAGTTGATAATAGTCAAGTAATCGAGTATTTAAACCAAATAAATTTTTTTTTCAGTGTATAAAAAAATAATATTTATCACTGAGACTTAAATAATTATTATTGAATCTAATAAAATTTATTTGAAACAAATAAATATAAATATTTCAATGTGAAATTAAAAAATAATCATTATTTTTTTGAATTCCTTAAATTTCAAAATATATTTAATAAATATTATTTGTTTTCTTAAAATTTTTTAATTTTTAAAAAATTTATTTTACTATTTTATCTGTATGAATTTATATATTACAATTTGTTTATTTTATCTCTTGTTTATTGACACAAAAGATATTATTTCTTAATTATAAATATCCTTAATGATTTTGAATTTTTTAATTTATTTACTATTTTCTATAATAATTATGAATTTATATTAGCATATATTTATTTTGTCTCGTGTTAATTGATACAAAAGATATTTAATTAACCTTACGCAAAAGTTGATCGATTCAATGCATTTCTTAAATTAATTTACAAGAATTATATAAAGTTATACTGCAAGGAACTATTGAAAATTTCTAACAAAGCAAGGAATTTGTAATTAAGTTTGAAAAAGAGTATATAATATTCTTTAACAATTTCTTTATAATGTCAGCCTTGACATATATATATAGTCGAAAAAAACGACTTTTAAGTGATTGAAGTAACAATGCCAATATGTAATAAATGAACGAATATACTTTTTTAATACATCCATACTGCGGTGATGTCAATGCACTTTTATAACTTTTCACAATGAAAAAAAATAAATACAATTCACTATCAAATAATTCATTTTTGATTAAAGTCACAGAAAATTTAATTTTATTTCAAAAATTTGTTCAATTATCATTTTTTAAATATTTTAATATTAATTACTAATTAATTTCTATTTTATTACCGATATTAAAATTTTATAAAATTACACTCAGAGAAAACTTTCAATTTTTTCCCAAAACTAAATAAATTATATTTTCTTTAAAAAAAAATTGTTAATTGGTTTAAATAAATTTTATTTCGTTGAAATAAAAATTTTATTTGGTTCAAATAAATATTTTTTTGATCAAATACAAATTTTTCTTGATTCAAGTAAATTTTATTTTGTTCAAATAAATATTTTTTTTGTTCAAATAAAAATTTTACTTGGTTCAACCTAAATTTTATTTGCTTCAAATTAGTCATTTACATATTTCAAAAAAAAAATATTTTTTTAGTTCTGAGTCAAATATATAATTTATATTCAATTCAAGTACATTTAATATTTGATGCGAGTAAAAAATTTCTCTGGGTGTAAAAAAAAATTACTAATCCTGCGTAGATCTTAAAAAAAAAATTATCAATAATAATCGTAAGATTCTTTAAAAATTCTTTAAAAATTAAAAAATATAAATTTAACGATACACTAACCTTATTTTAAAAATCCATAAGGTTAAAAAAAATTTTTTTGCACTCCAAAAGATCCCAGGTTAACAAAATGAAATCTGCAAGTGGAAAAACTCTAAATTGCGCGTTTCTTTTTTTTGACTTAGTGTTACAATTTTTTTTCGCACTATAAATTCATCGCAGTATTTTTTTTTTCTTGTTATATTAAATAAGTATTTATTTCTTTCATTTATGCTGATTAATATTTTTCTGATTTTTAAAAAATTCATTATATAAATTTCATAGAAAATTTGTTGATAAACATAAAAATTTTAATTTATTAAAAACCAATCAAATTATTGTTAATAATAATATTATTTTTATTAATAAATAATTAATTTTTTTTTTCATTAGTAATTTTCATTTTCACTTTACAATTCATTATTTTTTCAAAAATTTCTCTTTGATTCTGTCTTACATTATTTTGAATTTTTAAAATTTTCATTAAGATAAAAAGTTTATAACTAAAAAAATTTTATTATCATTATGTAACGTTATATTAAATTATATGCTCTTATATATTATAATTTTGAATATCTTTAATTTGGAAAACAATAAAAAATCTAAATATTAATTAAATTTTTTTTACTTTTTTTATATAAATATAAGTATTTAATAATTAATCTAAATCTTTAATAAGTTGAAAATATATTTCACAAATTTTTAGATATATAATCATTAAATTCTCATTAATTTAACTTTTAATAAGAATATTACCAAAATAATAATTAAATCAAAGAAAATTTGTTAAAACTTTAAGCCTTCGCAAAATCCTTTAAAATAAATTTTTAATAATTAATCCGAATTAATTATTTATTAAATTAAGAAATATATTTCACATTTTTTTAAAATATTTTTGAGATAATCATTAAATTCTCATTAAATATACTTTTTAAGAAGAATATTACCTAAATAATAATTGAATGAAATAAAATTAGCTTAAAAATTTTGTGTCTGAAAAATATTTCAAAATTTATGTATGAAGAAAAAATTTTTATTGCAATAAAAAAAAAATAAAATTTTGAAAAAAAATCAGAAGGAAAAGAATTTTTATTGCAAAAAAAAAATATATATATGAAATACTTGTTGAAAATTTTGAAAGTTTTAAAAAAATAATCAAAAACAAAAACGAATATAGAGAAAATTTTTTTCTTATTAGAGTAAAAAATTTTGTAATAAAAGGAAAAAAAATATGAAAAAGGAAAAATTTAAAAATATATATTGTAGAAAGGTAATGTACCTTTTAACTAATTGGAATAATATTGTATACACTTTTTTTTGTACAAGTAAAAATGTTTTGCGTTGTACAACTTTTTTTTTGAGGGAGTGATTAGGGGGAGGTGGTAATTTTTTTTTTTTTTTTCTTTTTTTTGAAACACTGTGTAATAAATAGGAAAAGGGGCACGCAACAGATACGAAGAGAAGACTGTGGAGTCCTGTGAACCGAGAATGGTTTATATAGTCCCACCCAACCACCCACAAGCTACCAAGAGACACCCTTTTGATTCGTCCCATGACAATCCTAAACAACCCCATTTATTCTGTGTTTATCAATTTTTCTGATAACAATGAAAAAAAATTTTTTTTTATTTACAAAAGCATATTAAAAAATTACTTACATTTTAGGTAAAATACCCCTAAAATATTTTTACCTAGATATATACAAAATGGTTAATTAAAATTATTTTAATAAAAAATTTTTTTTTTACTCTAAATTTTAATTAGTAAGAATTTGTTAACTAATTTAAATAAGTGAATATTAATTTATTTAAATTAAATTTAATTTAAATTTTTAGTCATTTTTTAGTAAACATTTAGTTTAGGAAATATTATAAAATTTTTATAATCATATAAAAATAAATAAATTACTAAATATTATGTAGTATTTATATTAGTAATATTTTACCAAAAATTAGTGGTAATTTCTACTAATTTGAATTAAGTAAACGAATCCTGGCTAATTCAAATTTTAGAGAGTACGGGTCCATTTCCAATTATGTTCTATTATAAAATTATATATGAGTACATTAAAAAAATTTTATTTTTCAATTTAAAGTGCAAATAATTTTCAGTTTATTCAAAATTAACAATTTTTTAATTAGGGTCAACTGGGGTAAATCCGAACGCTTTTAGTAAGTTTCAACAATAACATAAGTTTTTTCTTTAAAAAAAAAATACTTCCGGTATTCTGGTGCATGAAGTTGTTACTTTACTTCCATAGAACAATTTTATGGGGTAGAAAAAATTTTTGATAAATTACAATCGCAGGAAACTTAGCGTTCGTATTTACCTCGATACTTTGCAACTTTCCTAAAATATGGGGGTAAATACGAACGCCACTGTATTTCAGAAAAATCTTAGGGAAAATAAATTTAAAGTATTGCAATTGTTAAACTTATATAAAAACTCAAAAAAAATACGATAATAAACCTATTATGTAATAATGCATCATATATAAATACAAAAATCAAACAGGTTAAAAATTAAAATGCATTACATAATTAAAACCTTCAATAACTTTATCAAATCATAACGGTTTTTTGCAAAACTTGGTACAGAAAGTATTTTGGAGTGATTGAATGTAAATACAAAAATAAAAGTCAAATTTTTTAAATTCTAAATGGCGGACTTTCCTAAAACTTATTTTTAAAAATGATCAAATTTGCTAACCCTGAAACCCCCCGAGTAACAATTTTCGAGCGAATCCAATGAATTTTTTAATTCTCGTCCGCCATTTTGAATTTTGAAAAACTGACTTCAAATTGGTAATTAGCGACCCCAAAAACCGTAGAATACCAAATTTTATTAAGATCCTGAAAAACTTTTTTCAACAAACCATTTGGCAAAAAAATTGAAACACTCCTTCGAGAGAACAGAGATTAAGTTTCTGCTTATTAATTACTAACGAGGATACGTATAGAAAGAAAAACTTTTTTCTATGTACTTTTATAATGTTAAAATAATAGTGTAATCAAATAAAAACAATTTTGTGTGGCTTTGATGTAAAAAAAAAATTATTAAAAATACCGTTCGGATTTACCCCAGTTTTCCAATTTTCTTGGGTAAATACGAACGGTCTGATATTATTAATAAAATTTTACAGAAGGCAAAAATCAAATATAGTTTCTGTTCTAGTATTCATAACAAACAATTATAAATAATAAAATGAATTTTTAGCTTCTTTTTCTTCAAATACGAGACAAAATACTGAAAGAGTGTCATCTTTGATTTTCAATCTTTTTTGCAATACTTGTTATCTTTGTTTATGCTGTTGCTAATTAACAAACAAAAAATGGGATAATACTTAGAATCTCTTCAAGAGGATCTGAGGTAAAAATTCTCATATCGAACTTATTTTTAAAAATTTTAATTAAGCTGAAATAATTAGCGTTCGGATTTACCCCCCGTTCGGATTTACCCCGACTGACCCTATTTAAATTTGAAAGTAGTTTTTTAAAAAAATTTATTAGTAAAAATTGTGAAAAATTTTATTTTTACTTTACTTTCTATAAATTGCTAAAAACAGAGAAAAGAAATATTTTTGTTGATTTTCAGTTCTTTTTTCTCTCTTTCTCGCGTGATCATTTTTATTAAATCATTTTTGCAAAATACAATGTAAGAAGAAAAAGATTTCCGCTTCAGGGTCCAATTAAACTCATTCGGAGAATTGGTAAATAAAATTGTTATTTATTTTCAATGAAAAATAAAAAAAAAAAATCCTAATTGTACATTATTCAAAGTTACTTTTTTTCAATGATTTTCATCCCTTTTTATATAAATTTCTGCCAATTATTTTACTATTTCAAACAAAAAGCATTTTACTTTTGCGATTTTCAAAAAGAGAAAATTTTCTTATAATAAAACGTTTTTATTTTTTCTATAAAAATATTTTATTTTTATACTGAAAAAAACACAGATAATTGATGAAATTAAGTTTTATAAAATTTCTTCAATTTGAATCTTAAAATTCGATTTTGGAAATAGATTTTTTAAAATTATAAATAACAATTTTCAGTCATTAATTAGAAATTTAATCTCATCGAAATAAAAAGTTTGTTCCTTACAAGTAAAAATTTTCTTTGATTTAAATAAATTATTTTATCGAGCGTATTTGGTTCATTTAAATACATTTTTTTGGTTAAGTTAATTATTATTTGTTTATTTTGTTCGAATGTCTTATAATATAATGTTTTATATATGCATTTTTAAAATTAATTTATACTAAATTAAAAATTAATTAATGCTTATAAAATATGGGAAAAAAATACAAAACTTTAAAGTGATAATCAAAAATAGGGAGTAAAATGATAAATTTTCTTTAAAATAGAAAATTAATTTTTATTTTCTAAAAGCCTATTAGCTTAAGTTACAGGACGCAAATTAATTAGAGTATTAAATAACGTTAATAGTTTTTATATATCAGAAAACACCTTTATTTCATCTCATAATCACTGTCCTCTTGGGAATTAATTTTCTTTTTTAACCCTCTTCCGTTATTATAATTACTCATTCGAATGGCTTAATCAGTAACTATAATATGCAAGAGAATAAATTAACAATTCACATAAATTTTCTATCTAAAGTTACTGTACTAAATTTTTAAACTTCTATTCTCTAAAAATTATCATTTATTAATTTTTTAATAATAATTAATTAAATTTAAAAAAAAAAGTTGTTCATTCTTTTGTTTTGTAAATAAATTATTTCCTTACCTTGAAGAATTGAAGTCTAAAAATAAATTTAAACAATATAAAAAATGTCTCTGATGAATACTTGAAAAGGGGGAAAAAAAAAAAAATTAAGTTTAGAATCAAGTGTCAAGTTGAACTGCAGTTAAGAAGTAGTTAATTGCTAAAGTCAGTTGTGAAAACACAAAACTGTCTAGTCAGAAGTAACTTCTAATTTATCAAAGAGTTTAGTTTCTACTGTTTGAAAAATTGAAGTACACCAGTATAGGTCGAAAACAACATTACAATGCGAACAAAGTTACCGAGACGATTAAAATGAGAAAAAAAAATATCGGAATTAACTAAAAATAAAAACAAAAATCATTTATAGTTTTAGAATTAAAAATTAATACTAATATATATATATGTACAGATAGATAAAGTCTGACAGAATCTTTCTGATTAGAAATTTATGTAAATTACTTGAAACTCAAATCAGAGTTAATGTTTTATAAAAGAAGAAAAAAAACACATAAATACTTTTACTCATCTATTCGATTTGACCCAATTTTCTCAAAATATTAACTAATTCATCAGATTTTGTTTATTAGAATTCAGTGAAATTAAATGACACTTTCAATGTAAATAGGTAAAAAAAAACTTTCTTCTTTTTTCGGGAACTAAAAATTAATGTATATAGTATAAGAAATTGAGTTCTTGAATATTTTTATATCGACCGCATTATGTCATGAAAAAAAAAACTTGATTAAAATTACCGTACATACTAAACTAATGGAAGTATCAACTATATTTCTTCTCTGTAGAGTAAATTAATTTACTCGAATCAAATTATGTATATATCGTTTAGAAAGTTTTATTAAAATAAATATATATTAGTATTAAAGATGAAATTATTCTTTTATACATAGTATTTAAATATAGAATTCAATGAATTTTTAACTTAAAACTAATAAAAAAAAAAAAAAAATTTTTATTTTAAAAAACAGTAAAAATAATTATTTAATTTAATTAAAAATAATAATTATCTTTTACATTTTGATAATTTGTGAATATAATATTTATTTTGAAAATTCTTAAGCGATTATAACATTTATTTTATGAAACACACCCTGTGAAATGATTTATTTGAACCAAATAAAATGTATTTGAGTTAAATAAACGTATATATTTGTCTCAGAGCCTACTATAACTTATTTATTTGGCGTAAATAAAAGTTTTATTTGTCAGAAATAAATTTTTCTTTGGCTCAAATAAATTTTTTATTTCAATGAAATAAAATATATATTTGCAACAAATAAATGAGTTAGTAGGCTCGGAGACAAATATACCATTTCTATGAGTGCATATTGTAAATTATATTTTTTAAGTTTTCACGAATGATATGTATTCAAAATGGCGGAAGAATTTTTGATTTGTCCAATTCGTTTTAAACTCGTTACTCTATGGTTTTTGGGGACAGTGATTTTAAATCTGAATTTAGATTTTAAAAATTCAAAACAATAATATAACAATAATAAGTAATAATAATAAATAATAATATAAATAAATATAAATAATTTAATATTTGTAATAATAATAATAATAATAATAAATAATAATAATAAATAAATTTATAAATTAAACTTTTATTTATAAATAAAACTATATAGTTTTAACAAATATTCAAAAAAAAAAAAAATTTAATCATTCTTTTCTAACAAAATTTATATCTGCAATCATAATTTTTTTTTTTTAAGTATTTTATTTAATTCCTTTTTATATTAAACTTTTATTCTCCCTTTTATAATAAAAATGATAAAATATATATATATATTATAAAACACAAAAATTGAATGTCAGATAAAAAATTAATAAGTGTACACTCTTCTTTTTTTTTGGCTGAATTCGTGAGAGATTAAAGATTAAAATTTATGAATTTTCAATAAATTAACAATATATATTTCGACGTTTATTTATCTTTAAGAAATATCAAGTATAAAACAATTATAGGAAATAATAAATCTCATGCGTCCCATGAGAATTATGCATCAGCACGTGTCTTTTGGGTTACAAAAAAGAAAAAAATATATATCAACACACATATATATCTCTTGATCATTAACACAATGCTTACGTTTGCGAAATAAATTTCATTCAAAAAATATAAAGTCGTATTATATTAACCCGGTGGGAATAATTTTTATAATCTATAATAAACATAAAAATATAAATAATCTTTCTTTGATTTCATATAGTTTTGAACCGTATCATAAGTAAATAGAATTTTTTTTTTTTTTAATTTTTTACTGAAAAAGGGAGTTTTTGAATTTATTACTTTTATATTTAAATATTCAAAAAAAAAAACTGATTTTACAGTGAATTAACAAAAAAATTACGTTAAAAAAGTTGCATTAAAATTGGATAACAATTTTTTCTTAAAAGAGATTTTTATTTATGAATTTGAAAGAATTTTTAAAATTTTCTAAAAATATAATTGCGAAAAAGTAGAAAAAGTGAATAAAAAAAAAAAAAAAATAATAAGAACAATGTTGTTAAAAAGAAAGAGCTTTTTCAAAAGAAAATTCAATTTTTGTCTTATATACATCTATATGTAATTAAAATTAAAACTGAAATTTGGTTAAAAATTAAAATATCAAAAGTCGTAATGCTATATTTAATTTATTAAAAGAAAAAAAAAAATTATCTTTTATCGAATAAGAAAAAAAAGATTCTTTTTTTTTCTCCATTATATTTGTACAGTAATCATTTCTTACAAACTTAATAATGGACAAGATATTTTGTCTTTGTCATAATATATTTACTCTTCTTCTTTTTTTTTCTAAAAATATAACAAATTTCTAATTAAGTTTTTCTTTGTTTTTTTGCAAACAGTGTAAAAAATTAACGTTATTTTATTTTTAATGAACTCGTATCCTTATTTTTCTTTTCAATTGAAAGTATGTTATTCTGTAAAATGTATGTCGAATGTATTTGAAATAATTGGAAAAAATATTTTAATCCAATATAAAAGAACAGTTTAGAAATTTTTCGCTTATAATAAAATATGATTATTTATATATATGATATATAATTGTTACTTTTAATTAAAATAAATAAAAATACTTGTGGTTAACAATTATTTCAATTTAATTAATTTATAAATTAATTCACGGTATTTTTTTTAAATTAAATTTCTTTATTTATAAATAAAATAAAGTAATAATATAAATAAATTTTTTTAAATAATTTACTTTAGATTTTTAAAATATTTCAATAATATATTTGTAATTTAAGATTTAAACAATTTTAAATATTTATTGGAACATGGTAATTCGTGAAATGCAGGAAAACTCCAATTTTACTGACATCGCAACGTGTGGTAATAAACAAATATTAGATTTTCTAATCAGGCTTAAGATAATAATCGAATGGTTTTTTAAACTCTTAAGTTATTACACAATGAATCATTTATCTAATCTTTGGCAAATATTAGGTTCAACTAATCATAACAATATGTCATCCATAATCCTCTATAAGATATGTTGCAAATTATTGCAAGATTTTAATTAAATTAATTAGAAATAAATTATAATGTTAATTATAATAAATTAACATTTTTAAAAATTTAAAGTTATTAATTGCAAATTTTTACCTTTTTAATTAAAAAAAAATTTTTTTTTTAACAATTGAAAATTATAAAGATTTTTTTGAAATTGTTTTTTAATAAACATTTAAAACATTAAAAATACATTTAATGAAACATTTGATTATGTTTAAAAACAAAAAACTATTTTTTTATATAAATAATTGAAAAATCAAATAAATAATATTAAACTTTATTAAACAATTTTTTATTTTATTTTTTTAACTTTATTAAATAATTAAAAAATTTGACATTTTTAACAAGTAAAATCTGTTTTCCAATAAATAATTAATTTAAATTTTGCATTCTTAAAAATTGTTTATTTAAAAAAATATTTGAAAATTTTTTAAATAAAAAACTATTTTAAATAAATATTATAAAAATTTTGTATATTGTTGAAGAAAAAGGGTTGTTTTTTTTAATCATAATAATTTAATAATCTACAAATTTAAATAGTTTTTAATTTAACTGTTACATGGCCTTAAAAAGCTATATAAAATAATAATTACTATCTTTAAAGTAAAAATTAAAATAAAAACAAAAAACGAATGTAGAAGTTACTTATTCTTAATGGAAAATTATATATATTAATATTAGTTTAAAATAACTTTTAACATTATGCACATTTTGGCCCCTGTAGTATGATCTATTTTGATGTCATAGATGTACAGAACAAAAACAATTTTTTTTTATCCTTGAACCTCAATGAATTATTTTAATAATTCGAAAAAGTTTTAATTATTTCACATATTTTAGAAGAAATTAATAAAAATTATTATTATTTTTATTATTATTAGTATTATATAATTATTATTATTTTGTTTCCTATTGTCGATAAAGTAAATATAGAAGATATACATATGGTAACCTACTGTTTTATCCACTAGTCTACAATGCTACTAAATCTATATAGGGTTTTTTATCCCATAAGTATAGAATCAGAGGTGAATCGAATAATTTTATTTATTTGTGCTGCAGTAATATATTTCAATAAAGCAGAAAACAAAATATTTTCACAAATAATTAAAAACAAAAAGTCAAGTTTATTTCCAAATAAAAATTTCCAATCGATTTAATTCAATTCGACTAATTCGCATATGGGAATTTTAATGGAAATAAAAAATAAATGTGGCAACACTGTTTCTGAGTCGGGGACACCACCAGTTAATGGATTCTGGGTAAAAGAGCGTGCGTCGTGGTTTTATATCATTATATATTTTTAAGAATTACGTGTAAAATGACGGATTGTAATTGAAAATAACCACCTTATACAACAATTGAATTAAGAGAACAACAGTTTTTTGTGCTAAAATACATTAATTAGATAGTGTTAATAACATTTTTCGTTGTCGGAAACCCAGTGATATTTCATTATATACCTAATACCACAAGAAAAAAAAACAGTTGAGGCAATCTATATCACATTTAATTTAACCATATTTTTCGGCAGGTGTCTTTTTTGCAAAGAAAAGGCAAATAAAGGTCATAATTTACTTCATTTTAAATAGAAATTAATAGGGAGAAAAAAAAATTTACATTTTACAATAAAATCACAACGTGCAAGATGATTGAACTAACTGTAAAGACGTTAGATTCTCAGGATCACTCATTTTCATTAGATGACGACGTAAGTTCATGACTTCTTTTAATTTATTATATGTATGACTCATTGTAACACTATTTTTTTTTTTTTTTTTTGATAATTTGATATCATAATTTCTTTTAAGTAAACCCTATTTTTTTGAATTCGTTAATAAATATATATGTATATTTGTTTGAGTACCAGAGACAATTGTAATGGCCGACAATTTTTGAAAATTCCATTGTCAAATATTTATCTATATGAACGAATAAAATTCATGTATAGTATAAAATAAAAGTATATGATTTTATTCGTTATATTTTATGAAACAAAAAATTTTTTTTACTATGGATAAATAAATTTGGTATCGAATAATTTGTCCTCCATTTGATGTATTTACATATTTTGTTGCATAAATTTTAACTTTTTTTTTTTTATCTACATTTTCATAGTTTATATTCTTTTTTTTATATTTATTCTCTATACAATAATTATTATATAATTATTTCTTTATAATTATTAAAATTAAGTACAAATGCAAAAATTATCTAAAATTTATTAGAAATATGTTTAAAAAAAAAAAAAAAATTATTTTAAAAATAGATAACAGTTCGCGGATTTAAGGAGTATATAGCTGAGTCAGTTGCAGTGCCTGCAGATTCACAGAGATTAATTTACTGTGGAAGAGTTTTGCAAGATGACAAAAAACTCAATGATTACAGTTTGTTATTTATATTTTACTTAAAATACATTAAATTTATAAATATTAACTTTATTGGTATTCTTTTTAATAAATTTGTGTTTAATGTTTAGATGTTAATGGAAAAGTGATACATTTGGTACAACGTGCACCACCACAGCCTGGAAGAAGGGAAAATGAAGGAGAACAAAGACAAAATACTACCCAAAATTCAAATCATTTTCACAGAACACATTATCGAGTAATAAGAGATATTAATCTACAGAATGCTCACGATGGACCTAATGCTCAAGTACATGGCAATACAATGTACTTAGGTGCAATGACTTTGCCAACAGAAGTTGTTGAAGGACATGGTTAATATATTTTCAAAAAAAAAAACAAAAAGATCCCAGCATTAAAAAACCATTTGGAAAATTTTGAATATAGAATACAAAAAAAAGAGTTTTAAAAAAACCCTTTAATCGGCGCCTTCTGTTCATATAATGCTTATTGAAATACCAGTGAAATTCTTATTGAATTTTCCCCGCAATATAATTCTTACCAAAATTTCAGTGCAAGATAATTTCTATTATTTGATTTAAAACAAAACCCACTGAAAATACTGCCGTATAAATTAAAAAGATACATAAGCGACATTTTTGTCAAAATTGAGTTTTTGGTATCATTGGATTCTTAAAAAAAAAAAATTGCATCCTACTGAGCAAAAAAGAATTAACGAATTGAATTATTTTTTGCAAAACTAGATTGTTTAAAAATGAGAAAAGTCAACAAAAAAAACAGGGTGGCCGCAAGTCAGGGAAAAATTGGAAATCAGGGAATTTTGTAAAAAAATTTCAAAAGTCAGGGAATTATCTAAAGAAACCATAAATTAAATATTAATGGGTTATATACCTTTTCATGTGTCAAAAAAAATCGATTTTTTTCATTGCATATATCAAAAAGTACATACCCTCGAGTATGTTTTCCCCAAAATTTCATTAAAATCGGAACATTAGTACCAAAATTATGGCTGTTTCAATCCGCTACTTTTCAAAGAAGAGTATATACGCTTGAAACTTTAAAGGCTATTATCTCGGAATCGTGATTTTTGAAAAAATACGGTTACGGTGACTGCGATTTTTTTCAAAACCGCTAAACCTATCGGGCTGAAATTTTCAGAGGTTCTTTATATACACGAAGGAATTTAAATTTGAACCAAAATTAATATTTTTTCGGTCAAAAAACCAAATTTTAAAGCCTTAAAATCACGATTTTTGAGAAAAAATCATCGCAATTTCTAGAAAAAATTTTATTTTTCAAAATCCTTTGTTCACGTACAAGGTAATATATTATACTAACGAAATTTCCTTTGTTTTTTTAATTTTAGTTAAACTCTGTCTGACTTATCGCAGTCACCGCAAGCAGATATAAAAAAAAAAACCTCTATGAAGTTGGCGTCGACGCTCGGCGCCGAAAATTGTTTTTACAGGACTAAAAATGTTAAATTTTTTTAAAAATATTTTCAGTCCAAACAATATCTTGAGAAATACTTTTTAAGGTATTATGTGGACTCAAAACGTTTTTAAAAATGATTTGATATTTTTGGTCCTATGAAAAATAATATTTTCGACTCTGAGCGTCGACGCTAACATCAGGGAGGTCAAAAAAATGTGTTTTATTGCAAGGTCTATAGTTTCCACAATTATTAATATTTTTTAATAAAAATTTATATACAAGTACATCGAAATATGTACTTATCGATAAATTAAACTTCGTTTTAAGAAAATTTGAAATAACGGCTAACAAATTTTTTGAAAATTCCTCTTTTTTGACGCGCATAAAGGTAAATAACCCCTTAAGATTCTATATTTTTAAATAATCACGGAAAACTAACCAAAATTATTTTCATCCTAAAAGTTTTAAACAAAATTTTAATTTTGTTTATTTCTAATAAATTTTTTACTTAAAAAATAATATAAAAAATTTTATTAAGCAGTGTAAGATTTCAAAAATTTTTAGTTAGGGAATTTTAAAAGTGGGATTTTGCTGCCACTCTGAAAAAATTACGTAATACAAAGTAAAAAGATACATAAAGTACTTTGCGGGTTGATATTTCTGTAATTCACTCCGCATACGTTACCAAAATACAGATGAAAAAGATATATATATATAATTTATAATTTTTTTTTATTATGCACTAACAAAATTTTAAGCCTTTATTTTGGATAGAAAATATTGAATAACATTAATTATGTTCGCCAGTAACTTTTTAAATATGAATTATATTGAATAGAAATTATTTAATTTAATACCTCAAGTCAGGGAGATTATTTTTTCACCTGGAAAATTAGGAAAATTTTAAAATATAAATCCCATGGTTAACGCTTTTATTTTGATAAATATTCCATTGGTTTTTTTTTGTCTTGAATTATTTTTTTTTTTTCTAAAAAATTGTCTACATTTTCAATTTATTTTATCAGGTCTTCCTTTGCCTCAGTTGAGCAATACATTATCAAATAGTCGTATGGTTATGGCTGAGAATATGTTAACAAACGCTAATCGAATTTTGGATCGACTAAATAATCCCGTGAATCCAACACCTGACACATCGAATGAAAGACAAAGTACATCTTCAACAACAACAACAACAGAGAATTCTGATGTTAACATGGATACATCTCCTTCTGAGTATGTACCAATGATTTTTCATATAAAAATAAATTTTTTTCCTTACATACGTGTAAATAAATTATCGATTTGTTTTAATAGATCAAGTCGATCGGCACCAACATCGTCAGGTGTGAATCGTGGGGGTTTAGCTCTCATCACTTACATTACAAATATGCTCGACAGTATGGTTCAGGATATGCTTCAAACAGTCGGTTGTTTGGTAGAGATCACGTCAGGTAAATAAAAATTTCCTACTAAATATATTTATAAAATATTAATTTTCTCATATTTTGAGGAAATTTTCTTTTCAATAGATGATTATCCGGAGGATGAAACTCCTGGTGTCAATAACACTTCATCAGGGACTGCATCTCAACAGGAGGATCCTTTAAATATAATATTTCCTAATAATGCACCACCAAGTCTTTCTGATAGACTTAGAGCACCTCCTACGTAAGAGAAATTGATATAAATATTTTATAATGATAGTATTTTGAATGATTTGATTTGAATATATTTCTATTTTATTTAGGGAACCACGTCCACCACAAATGGCAGACTTATTACAAATGTTAATGAACACCCAAGATCGTCTTAGACCATTCCTAGAACGTTATCGCTATCTTATGACGACAGATCCTGTACTTTCTGCTACTGTAAGTTTAAAAAATAAAATTTCATGTCTTTTTTACAGCTTTTTCCATGATGTGATCCATATTTTGCTCAATAATTTAGAAATTGTAAATTTATAAACAGTACATTTTCTTATCGGTATGTGAAAACGTCTTTTTTTTTTGAAAAATTGCAGGGTACCGGTTCAGATAGTGTTTCAGCAAATCAGCGTATTGTAAATGAAGTAAGCAGAATTTTGCATTACATTGCACACGCAAATCATGCATTGAGTGATATAATCGTTGATATGGGACAAGCTCCTCCACGAAATTTGAGTTGTCGACCGATTGTTATTCAACAGTCGGCAATTTTACAAGCTGGAATTCCAATTCAAGTGGAAGTAAGTTTCATTGATTGTCTAAAAAGAAAAATTCTTTAGAAATAAAATCTGAATAACATAAATATTATTATTGTTCTTGATAATTTTTTTGAATTAGAAAAAATAAAATTCACATTTTTCACAAAAGGCTCACATTAGCGTCAATGAAGGTAATGGTGGTCGTAATAGAACTGAAACAAATGGTAGCACACAAACACCGAATGAAGGTTCAGATAATGCAGAATCGAGAGAAACTCCAGCACAGGAGAGAACTCAACAACATTCATCAAGTAGTAGTCATCAGCGCTTTGATCATCAACAAAATTCTGATCAACAACCACGTACAGATCAACAACAGCAGCAGCAACAACAACAACAACAACAGCGAAATCAGACGCCACTTGGCAATTTATTCAGTATGTTTTCAATTTATTAGTTCATAATCATAAAATTTGGATTCTTAATAATTTGGAGCAATTATTTATAGGCAGCGTTTTCAATTTGCCAAGTAACGTTGAAGTTTTGATGGAAGTTAGTCCTGATAGTTCAATGGATCTTAATTCTGCAGATGATCAGGGATCAAATAATACACCTAATAGTAATGAGAATAGATGTGAGTTTTTAACATTAGAAACAATTTTCATTTTTTTAAATACTGTCTTTTTTTTTAGCGAATCCAATGGGAAGGGGAGCAAGTTGGATGTTTCCCTCAGGTGCACCACCAACAGATCTTTTGCGAAATTTAATGCACGCTGTTGCTGGTCATATTGTTCAAGATCCATCTGGCATGACATCGAATCAATCTTCAAATCCTTTGAATATGTCACATAGTCAACATACAATTGGTGTGACAATTGATGGTAATGGACAAAATTCTGGCCAAAGTACACAAGCAAGGTAAATGAAACTTTATTAATGATGTTAATATTTAAATCACAATATGGTTAATATAATCATAATTTATAATTAGAAAGATAAACCATATTTATCTATTTAAAAATTTTATTTTCTAGGAATAATGTAGGCACACATCCAACAACATCAACACAAACACGAAGTACATCCCGTCCTCATGTCTTTCATTCCCATGGCATTGGATTAGGTCCCGTTTCTGATCCATTTTTGCCATGTAATTCACATCATCTTCGAAGATGGTCTACTTCTGGTGTTACTTTAAATCAAAATCAACAAAATGCTAAACATGTTAATGGAGACAGATACTTGCAAATACTTCGTCGTAATTTACCAAGTTCACACTTCACATCAAATCGTAAGGAAGAATTAAAAATTTTTAACACAATAATTATTATTTATAAATTTTGGACAGCAAGGCAGTTATTTATGCCTTGAAACGTTATGTAACTACATCACAGTTGACTAGCTGGAACATAGCAGATGAACTAGCCAAAATAGGAGCTAGGGAACAATTTATCGAACCTAAACCCATAGTTGGTGTCTCTGACAAATGTCTGAAACCGGAATTTAGACGGTGGTGAAATACAGAGCATCAGAAATAGTGGCAGGCAACTACAGTTTGTAGACAAGCCAAGGCACTCATTGGAAATAATATAGACCTAAAAAGAGCAGCGGAATTCCGCAGATTCAATAGGAAAATGACAAAACCGTAACAGGCCTTTTAACCGGTCGCGGAAATTTATGCTAGGGAATGTTCAAAAAAAAAAAAATACGTAACGCTTTAGAGGGGGAAAGGGAGCAAGGTATTTGTTACGGTCAGCAGAAAAAATGGCGCTATAGTATGTGTCATTGCATTACATAAGGGGCGGGTGGAGGGTTCAAATTTCCAAAAAATAGTGTTACGTATTTATTGAACAGCCCCCTATCATAGACATAAAATACAGGGTGTCTACCGGTCCTGGAAAGTACTGGGATTTTAAATTTTAGACATAAAATATTAAAATCAATTTTTGACGACGGTGCACAGCTGGTCTTAAAAAACGACGGCAATTTTTGTTTGAAACATAAAATCAAAGGAAAATTTTAGTTTTTTGTTTCAAATAGAAGAGGGATTAATACTGAGTAAAACAAGCCATTATTCATTAAAATCTGTCAAGGTGTGTTCTGTCAATTCTGCTCGTCAGTTTGTCAAATTCGTTAAAAGTGAAATTAGAGAAAATGCGCTTCAAAATTTGTGATTCAATATGTATAAATTTTACGCGATTCAATATTTCTCTAATTATCAATCCCGGCTCCATGAAGTGATTACTAATAAATAATAAAGTACCTTTGCAATAGCCTTTCTGCGGGTAAGAAATTCGGAATAGACAATAAAATGGGGGGAGGGGGGCGCCTCCGAGTTTAGACAGGCGCTTTAAATCCTAACCCCTCGATGCGTTAGTCTCGTAACTTAAAAAATACTTTAGATTGGCCTCTAAAATTTTAGGTACATATTCCCCCCTTAAGGTATACGCGTGTTAAGTGAAATAAAAAAGTAAAATTATTCAATTAAATGTCCTGGAAACATAAGAAATTCATCTTGGAATTTCAAATTAGGTTTTCAGTAGACACCCTGGAATGGGCCCTGCTGAAGATCCAAAATGTAGAAAATGTGGAGAGGATGTAGAAACCTCATCACATATTCTCTGTCATTGCCTTGCACTTGTGAGGAAATTCCAGCAGATTACAGATTATTTTTTCTTTGGAGAAATAGCTATTGCTAATAGGTAGTTTGGCTGCGGTCCTTTATTTATATGAAAAGGGCTTTGGGCCCATTACTAAATATAGCTTTTGGGGACGTATAAGGGATTACCCAAGCGTCGGTGACTGTCACGTAGCCACAATCTTTAGATTAATAATTATAAAAAAAATAATATAATTAATTTGCCAAGTGATAGAACCATATTAACCATATTAAAAAAAAATAATAAATTTATTACAGGCGATGCATTTGCTTTCACCTTGAGAAATATTGTTAACATTGTTTCTAATGGAGAAATTGAAGTTAGATTTTCAAATGATATTCCGTAAGTGTGAATATTGATTGATTAAAACTAAATTAGAATTTAAATTTTGAAATTAAAATTAAATATTTAAAAATTCTAATATTTCTAGAGCATCAGTTACGTCGGGTATAACTTTAGCAAATTTAATGGAAATCCCACTTACAGTGGAAGCTAAGGATAATCTTATTTTTGATCTTACTTTACTTATGGTAAGTTAAAAATATATTTCCACTGAAATTAATAATTTTTTTTTTTTTAATGAATTTAAATGATAAAAATCTGTCTTCTTTTTTTTTTTTTATTAAAGGCACGAAACGTGCTAATGGAAGATTTGTTCTGCCTTCGATGCGAATTCTATAACATCTTTTCTAGTCTTCGAAAGCCATTACGTGAATTTATAAAAGAAAAAATAAATCAATCAGGTCGCACAGAGCAATTTGTCGTTGATCTTCTTCTTGATTGTTTAAGACCGTCTTTAAGAAAAATTCTTCTAGCCGAAAAAGAGATAAATAACAGAAGAGCTGCATCTTTTGATATTATTAATTCAGTTGAAAATGTTTTACGTCGAAACTTTACCGAAGTTGTTCAACTATTTTGCAATGAAGGTTTGTTAAAATTTTTATTGTCTGATTAAATATTAATTACTGTATACTAACAAAATGGTTATTTTATTTTAGAACTAAATGATGCAGCATTTGTAAAGAAAGCGAAATTAGTTTTTGTGGATTTGATAACACAATTTTGTGGTGTTTTACTTTATTTGTTTAATGGAAATCAGTTGAAACTTGCAACAATCGTGAAAAAATTAATGGTCAGTATTTTCGATTGATATAGTTTTGAATTAATTATACTTAAGTTAAGACAAATTTATAACATTTTACTCTTTTTTGGTGAAAAAAAAGACTGATTTAGCAGGAGACATGTATCCATCAATTTCTAAATGGGTGCTCACTAAACTTGCAATTAAATTTAATCGCAGTATTCTTGATATGTCAATGTCAAGACTTCCACATGAAAAAATTGTTCCTTTCCTTGTAAAGAGAACTCCCGATCAAAGTGCTGCCGAGTCGTGTCCTACTGATACGCCAAGTATGTCAAAACCCATTGAATCCTTGGAATCGGAAGATACTAATTTTCCAGGACACGAAATTCTCCCAGCGGTAAGAATTATTTAATTTTTCAAAATAATTTCACAACTATAAGAATATTTCTTATCGTATGCAGATTATGCAGGGTTTAGATAAACAGATTTCTACTGTATCTGTTTTTGTGGTATTATATAGAATATTTGTATTCGCATCTTTGCCATGACAATTATCAGTTTAAAAAGAAATCAATTTCAATAATATGAAAACTAAATTGATTTTAATATAGGATTGGGTGCCAACAATTGCGCTAGATGGTGCAAGTCAACGTCGCTCAGCGCCGAGTATGACAGCCGGTGGGATTCCAAACTTTAGCGATGCTTACTTGGGATGCTTGCCTTGTAAACGGCGGAAGATAATACAACAAGATAAATTGCAGCTTTTAGCAAATCCAACTTCAAATCATTCAACGGTATCGGCTTCCATTGAGAGAATGGTGAGGGAGAGTGTTAGTCGCGTGGGAGTTGCTGAAGTTGAAGGAGCTGCTGTTGCTGTGGCTAATGACAATGGTGTGAGAACAGCCTTTGGTAAAGCAATTCAAGATTATGGATATGGCATTCAAAGGACCGATGAACCTGATTTTCCGAATTCAGAACGTTTTCCTAATGCTACTAAATTCTTTTGTGAAGACGCACGAAGATAATTATTTATACAATATGGCGTATTTTTCTTAGGAAAATAAAAGACCTATTGCAATCACATCAGTTTAATTGCCCGAGTCTTGATTTTCTTTATATGGTAATATTTTTGTTCTTCATTTATTATTATTTTTTATTAATAGAAAGAAGATTCCAAGAGTATATTTTATGTGTTACCATATGTTTATTTTTTTTTCAAACTCTTGAAATTGAAGAGAATTTTTGCAGAAAGTGTGTTGTATATGTCATTTTAAGCCTTGTCGGTTATGGGTTTATAATAGCGATAATTGTATAACTTTATAGTGTGTAAATGTTTAAACCGTTATCAAGTGCTTAGAAGTTTATATAACCATCAGCAATTTCTAATAATTTATAATTATCTAAAAAAAAGTAGCGTATATATTTTATCGGGTTCCACTATTTGTAGTTTGTAATTTAATCATTCGAAAGCGATTGATGAATAATAATTGTAGCCTAATTGCTGAGTATCGTTTGATAAATATTTCTCAACAATAGAATTTTTCGACACCTATTGATTATAAATATATATGTAAATTCATCAGAAAAAAAAAAAATTTTCGTCTATTCATTCGTTAAAACCCCCATTTAAATATTTAATTATTCATGATTCAAAGATAAATTTTCTATAAGTTATTAAGAAACTTAAAATATAGATATTTTTTTTTTAAAAGTTTTGTTAGTAGTCACTGCCGCACTTATTTTTTTTCTGAATACAAAGAAACTATTGTAGAAAAATTTTCAAGTCAGGAAAAAATGAAAAATTCATAGGCAACCAGACAAATGCGTTCATTCTTGTGAAATATTTCACTTCGGCAAATACCTTTGGTATGCAATTGCATAGGCGTTAGGAGTTATCACTGACATCGACGTCACCATTCTGCTACCTTTTTCAAATGCAAATATGCCTCCAGTTACACGCTTTTCAACGTCAGCGTCTATCGCTACGTCCTCCTCTCCTTCCTACTCTATTGAAGTTCGCAGATTATTTGAAAAAAAAACGCTACTGTGTGAGTTGCACTAAATTTAAAAAAAATTTTACTTTAAAAAAGTTAGTTAGATTTTTTTCAGTCACGCTCGCTATTAATTATTTACGATTTAGTTTTTATTAATATTTTCGAAAGAAAATTGCATAATTACGATTTAGTTTCATTTTTTTTTTAAAATGAAAATACAGTTACGATTTGGTTTTCATTTAAACTTTTCAATCGTTGATTTTTCTTCGTTGCAATAGAAGGGGAGATTTACTTTTTATTGCTTACAAAACCACTGTTTGAGAGTCAATGATTCTTGTGGCTTTGTTCAAAAAATAAAAATGTGGTTACGATTTAACTTTCATAAAAAACATTTGCTATCGATAATTCTGCATCTGAAACAAAAAAAAAAAGATTATAAAATTGTATTTTTACTTTGTGGATGCCTAACAAAACTAGAGGTCAATTTGTGACTTAACCAAGAAATGGTTACGATTTAATTTCCATTAATAATCCTTTTACTATGCAACATAGAAGAATATAGATTTTCCTTCGTGTTCCAAAAAGCAAATTCTTTTTCAATACTCACCAGAAAGCGGTTGAGATTTGACATAACTATCGAATGGTTCATAAATGTCTAAAGAGTTCACCGTTTCTACAACAGATGGCACAGCAATGCACAATTTTTTGAAATATAATTTAATTTCTTTCTCTATATTATAAATTTTAGTTTTTCACATAGATGAATTAAAGATGTGATTTTTGCAATAAAAAAAAATTATTAACATAATTTTTAACTGTATTATGAAAAAAAAAGTGAGATGATTTTAATGAATATATCTGTATAGTGTAGAAAGTAACTAGAAACGTTAAAAATTTATACGTATATAAAAGGGAGTAAAAAAAAAAGGAAAGTTCTGAAAAAAGATGCGGTTGTTTCGTAATTGGTCGAACCAGCGTGGTATGGCTATGTGCTCGTTGGTCGGATTTGATGTCCGTGCCATGGCAACATTCGTTTCGTGAAGTCATTTTTTTCAAACTCTTTTTACATTACTCGACCACGACCCCCCTAACTCTATTCTGCAATCTACAATTTCTAGCGTCCCATTGCACCCCGTGAGCCAATGGCGTAGTTACTAAATTTTTCTTATAAAATATAAAAAAAACTTATCTTTCCAAGTGTATAAAATACTAAAGTTTATAATTAAAATAAATGTTGGGCTGTGCGAAAAAAAATATTCGCCCACATTCGTAAAATATGTAGATTTTAATCTGCTCATATATATATATATAGAGAGAGAGACTACGATTCGAAATTCTTCACCTGGCTCAGGTATCCTAAAAAAGTTCTCATTAAAACGCAAATTCCACACAAATTAACACTATTTCTTCATTCTATTATATTCATAAAATCTTGCAATGCGTTTTATGTGCGTTGTGTAGGAAGGCGCACATTTTTACGACTTGAAATACACAAGTTTTCAAAACCAGGCGCTAATCGTTACGGCCCTGATGCGAAGTATATTCGTATATAATAAAGGTCGAATTTGCTCCACGTGGAGTGAACATGGAAACGTCAGTTGTGTTAAAATAGCAGCGATTGGCTGATGGTATGAAGCTTACATCATTGATTGGTCTTTTTCACAAATGTAACGCCTCTTTCTTCCGTTTGGGCGTTACTGAAATTTTTCAACAACAAGGTTGGTCGTTTAGATGAATACTCAATTTTCATAGGTGCGGCAAAATGACATAAAGATACTCCACGTGGAGTTGAAGCGAGGTTAAGATGCCTTGGCAATCAAGTAGAACCTCCGTGCAAGTAGGGGCGGTTATGGGTGGTTACGGCTGTGGATTGGTGAAGGCGAGGGACGTGCGAGGGTGATTCGATAGAAACGGAAGGTGGAGGGAAGGCGGCCATATTTAGGGAAGGAAATCGGTGAAGAACATTCGCATTTCACCGCTGCGCGCGGTTTCCTTCGAAAAGGAGCTGTGTGTAGGTATTCGGAGCTGTCATCGAAAATTTTCCCCCAACTCTCTCTCTCTCTCTATATACTATTTCCTTACTCAAGGGCGTAGCATTTATATCTTTTTTTTTGCCAATGACTATAATATTGCTTCACTGTATACAATTATTGTCACTTTTTTTTTATTTCTCTTTACGGTTGCATCTCTCATATATATATGCGCAGCAATATGATAATGTCATACCAAAAATGTATGGGATTTGGAAAATTGTTACTGCCGCAGTAAATACTTGAGAGATTGTTATTCAAAAGGGTCAGGTCTCTACCTGAAAAGATGATACTCAATCTGCAATGATCTGTAAGAAGGGGACTCATATTTCTTATTCGGTTTTTGGTTTACACTATAGTGAACTTGGGCAGATTTTTGTCGATTTATATTACCCAGTTTTTAGAACTTATTTTAAAATTTTCTGTTTATAGGTATAATAAAAAAAAAAACATTTTTTTTTTCTGAACAAAAGAAGGTAAATCCAACTTGTATGAACAGTTTACACTTCAATTTTCTCATTAAAACAGTAAAAAATGTGAGAAATTATTGTTTCCCCTCTACGCAGTCAAAGCTTCTAGCAGACAACTCGAAACAGACGCAAGTGCGCATGCTTCATTCTGCGCATAGTTGAAGGCCAACGGAAAATAGAAACGTAACCGCAAACGCAACAGGAATAATGAGTTAGAGAAGGACAAACAATATATCTATCCTTCTCTAACACATTCTTTCAGTTGCATTTGCGATTACGTTTCTATTCTGCTCAAGCCTTGACACTGCTGATACAAACAAATTAACCTCAACATTTTTAGTCTATGAAATTATGTGAAAAAATATGTTTATTGGAAATGGTGGTCGTGACATCACTAACCAATATAATAATATATGGTCGAAGAGATCGGTCTTTTCTATTGACAGATAGAGTAAATATTTACAATATTTATTGAAAATCAAACAATGCATCTTTCTTTAACTGAAATATTATAGTTCAACGCATTTAAGTCGAAATTTTATATAGAAGTAAGAAGCTAATTAATTCCGGGCATGTTATTTTTTGTGGTAAAGTGCAAAAATTGAAGTCAACAAATTTTATTGCATTTTGTTTGTAAATTTCAAACATGAGAGATAATTCACGCGAAATAAATGGATTAATATCAGCGAGTGGCAAAATAGAAGATGTAATGTGTGTTCTTGCAAAAAAATGCAAGCACAGTGTTGTTGTATCTTTCTATATCTATAAGCAGGTAAGTGCGAATAGTTTTCCCTGTGGGCAAAAAACCATGTACGTTCTAAAAACGTTTAAAGAACGTTTTTAGAACGTTTCATGTCCGCACCAAATAATGTTCTGGAACATTTTAAGAACATGGGTGTTCAAATAATGTTCCAGAACATTATTTGGTGGACATGAAACGTTCAAAAAAGGTTCTTTAAACGTTTTTAGAACGTACATGGTTTTTTGCTCACAGGGTTTAGATTAGGTGAAACCACGTTTTTCTTGAGGGCCAAATTAAAATAAACACAGGGAAATTATAATCAAAATATAATTGTAATTTATTACAATAATGAAAATAAGTTCAATAATATAAGATTAGAACAGCTGTATTTACGTATATATATATTTTATCACAATTAATAGAGAAAAATACGTGCACAACGTACCTTAAAATTTGCACATTCCAGCCAAAACTGACTAACCCGCACGCTAATTATTAATCCCTCCAAAACTTATGATTTCCGGTCAATTGACTTTTCTAGAATATTCATAATTCCCGTAATCAATGTATAACACGCGCGTAATCCCGAGAATATTTAAATATGTTTGTATATAATTAAAATTTATAATATTAGTAATATTGAAAAATCCGATTTTTTATGAATGTTCTGCCAAGACTCGAATTTAAGCACTCTCTAAATCTGAATTAGTAAAAAAGTTTACTAATTTGAATTAGTGACTTACTTTTTGCTTCTCAATTAGTAAAATTTTACTAATTATTAGTAACTTTTACTAACAATTAGTAAAATTTAACTAATTCTAAAGCAAAAAGTGAGTCACTAATTTAAATTACTCTC